CTAAACTATATATTTCAGTAAATATTTATTATATTAGCATTTAGTAAGACAGTCCTTGTGTTACACAATCATAATGTAGACGTAAACTATGTCTTAAAAATATTATTAAATGTATTAAATGTCGAGAATCTACATACTGAGATACTAATGGACAACGACAGTGTAATATAAAAGAGTGTACAGAACATTTTTATATGTCACACGTAAAAATTCTCCAAGTATCTCGAGGTCATTTTTATAATATAAGATATTCATGAGCACAGTTCTGCAGTCACACGATGTAGAACAAGTAAAGTGCAAGTATAGCCTGTAAATTAGCTGTACGCGTGCAAACGAATGGATACAAGAGGCAATCGAACCTTCTCCTATCTGAAACTGATCGAGGATGTGGTAACGATTAATCGGTGGTCCACCTGGTTTAGCCTCTGAAAGACTAGCGTCCGATCGATATTCGAACTTAATTTATCCGCAAGTGGAACACGTCGGATACCGATACTGTCGATGAACTCGCGAGAAAAGCAGCGTTCAATCTTCAGCCAGGATTCGCAGTTGATTCGCAAACAAGATTTCAGAGCGCGTTCTAAACGTTCAAACAAAGTGAAGTGGTCGGCCAGCTGATTTATTGGCGGGATTTTCTGCTCTCGTAGCCTGCGATCCCCTCGGTCTTTGTGCAGCTGTCGTTGCACGCTCTCCGCCTATACACGCCGGTGTATTAAATCGTCAGAGAATTGAAACTCGACGAAATTAACCTGGATCCAGACGAGATTTCTACCGCTTATCCTTCCACGATGATGCGTTTAACCCTCGGTTTTAAGCCGTGATCCTATTTTATTTTCGACTCGATCGTATCCTCCTTCTTTCTAAATAGTTTCCTCGTTAAAAAAAACGAATATGTATTACCTTTTGAATTTCACCGGTATAAACATTTTGTTCCTTTTTTACTTTTCTTGTCTCTTAAAACCAGTAACCTGACAATTTCTTTATATAATTTAAATTACAAAATATACAAAAGCATGAATACATGATGCGAGCCAAGGGATACGATGAAGTTAATCCTCTTTTTTTCTGCTCTTCTTATCGAAATAGGGAATATAATTTACAGTGATCTTCAACATTCCTTTATACCTAGATTATTTCAGATTTTCTTCCGAATGTTCCTATTATACGCTCCTTTTTTACTTTTTCAGGTTGAGTCTAAAGTACATTTGATTCTTATTTCAAGGTATTTCAAATTCTTTGAAACCAGGTCATGTAGATTTCAAATTTACAATATGTACGTACAATACGTTTTCCGTTCTTTACTAAGTGTAATTTCTACGTTTCATCGCTGTACCTTGACAATTTTCATACTGATAGTTCCTCACTATTTCTGGCATTTTTTATTTTCTATACTATCATGCTTTAGAATTCGATCTTGTAATATTTTACTATTACGAGAGACACCTTAAGGCTATTCGTATGATCTGAATTCTTTATGGCCTTCGTGTGCGACCCATCCTTTCGAAATCTGCGCAAATGCGTGCTACACATCTTCTACGTCCACGTAACACTTTGCACTTTGTATTCTCTGTAACTCACCGTAACACGATGCACTCCGTATTCCGTGACACAATCCAATGTTCAGCAGTTTGTAACTTTGGTCGTCTGTAACATTGTTCCCTGCATATTGTTCTCGTGTTTTCTGAAGTTCCACCGGCTTTACTTAATAGTGAATCAAACTGGAGATGAGGCGATAGTGGAATCCAGAGCTAGAGATTAGTCCATTTTTCGTCTCTAATAATTATCTCCACGTTTTAATTAATATTCATTCATTTACATCTTAAGTGATTCACGCTTATGTCTGCATTATATCATAGTTTATATCTCGTATTTTATCTTACATTAATGAAACATCTCCGATAATATCATTCGAATTTCTGTCGATTTTTACCACGAGCAAAATTCCTTCTAAAACCTTTTTCTGATCATATACTTCCTTCCGGTATATAGCTCTCGCGGATGAAGTGACAAACTATCATCATCATTGTATGTTTTCAGGAGTATACACACCTGGACGAACGTAAACGTTTACGTCGCACGTTTCATCGCGAAATGTTTGACAAGTGTAATCAAAACGCATCGCTAGGTGTTGGCAAATTTTCGTCTGAATCTCCCATGAGATAGGACTACTGATTGAATTTTCGTTTAGAATAGATCTTCGTCAATTTCAGTGAAACTTATTTTAAGAGAAGAAATTCGTAATATTTTAAAAAAACATATTGCTATTGCGCTTAATTATCTGTGAATGAATATTGCTCTGTAAAGTACTAATTCACACGTATTTGTAATAAATATTGATTTTCGTCGTTTTGTAATTAAACCGAATGATTATTTAGTATATAGAAACAACTGAAATGCAAATATCGTGTTTCACTTATATCTGATCGTATCGTATGGTAATCTGTTTTATCATTCAAGTTTATTGACCCAGTTCAGAATTCTACGCTACAATCAATTCATTATACGTGATTACGTATATAGATATCTTGTACACAGGAATGAAAATCCAACAATATATTAGAAATAATTTACAAATATTACTTGTATGTTACAGTAGTTTACACGACTCACGATTATATGGAAAAGTGTGCTAAATAACATGTATAGGTCGACAATTTGTTTTTCAATGTAGAAATATTTTCAAGATTGGTAATAAAGAAACAAATGTCCCTGTAATAATACTAAATTTGTAAATTTCTGAACGGATTTCGGTAACGATACGAATTATATAAAACATAGTATTAAATATATTTGTCTCTATAAAACAAAATATTAAAGATATCTTTCTTGTTAATAATGATTATTTCAAGCAAACTGGAAAGTTCATATTTCTTATATATTTCGAAAAAGTAAGTTTTTATTTAAGTCAGCTTTCCTTGTATGGATACAGAGGAGAATAGTTTAAAGAAAAGATAGTTTTACCGGACTGGAAAATGTAGTTCCTCCGGCTACGCAATTATGAACTTGCGAACAACTTCGTTTGAGAAAAAAAAGAGTTTCAAATAATGGATATTCAACACACTAACCCATAAAATGAAATAGCTTTGTTAATCAACAACTTTTATCCGTTGAATTTCTATGCGAACACTCAACTACGTAATCATTCGGATTAAAAACTGTTCCTTCTTTTTCTATTCATCTGCAAGCTAATTGCAAAAATGAACACATCAAAAACGTTTTCAATCTGAAAAAAAGCAAATAGAAAGGGTAACGAAAATTGTTTTTGCAACATTCTACATTTTTAACTTACGGTAAAATAGATAAAAAGAGTAACAACATTTATACACAGCGGTTTACATTTCAAGCATTTGATAAACTAAATGAGAAAAGCAACGTAAATTGTAACAAATCTGCATTCTTATGTTCTAATGAAGCAGATAGAGATTAATAGTATCCAACGCGCGCGTCGCTTGCATAAATACGTATTAACTAAATTAGATAAATTAAAATTTATTTAAGGAATAGTCGCACACCGAACAAATGAAAAAGATAAAAATAAATCTACGTAAAGTTGTATTAAAAGAAAGAAAAATAACTCACCAATCGTTGTTCGATTTCAATTGACCATTGCCTTAGGACATCCGTGAGTTGAATCCCTCAGACAAGGCAATCGACCTTTTCGATTTCTCCATCGGAACTCCGTCTTCCTCGTCTTTCTCAAATCTAACCTGTTCGCCGCTGAAAATGCTTTTTAACGATTCTCTACGATCGTTGATACGTAAAAGTTAAAAACACTTGCGCGTCTCGTAAATTCATTTGACTGCTTTTAGACAGCGATATAATCTTTTACATTGTGCAACACAGAGTACCGAACCTCGTTTCACATGAAAAAGTCATTTTCGGAAAACCAACAGAGAGACAAAAATTCCCTTTTTTCCGTCCGATACGTTCGATAGCGGATGTTTTTCGCTTTTTTTCCCTCTCTTTTATTTTTTCGATAGCTGTTCGAAACCCAAACGATTTATTCCCTTTGAAATTCCGCTCTAATCCTTTTGGTTTCCCGGTATAAGGAATAAATAGCGGCAAGCGATTAAGCACGTCGCAAAGATAACATGCCGCGTATTAATTCCCGACCGAACCCTCCATAACACTTAATCTGATTTATTGATAAAGTTGCGGCTTCACGTTCGCCGTTACCATATCGCCATGCACGCCTTTCATATATTCTATAGTATAATATCGATGATCATGATGTTCGAACATAAGCTTAAACACGTTTCAGCAAACTGTTTTTTAAGCTATCAGTTAATTCGATGGTTCAGTTCGTTTAAATTTAAGATACAGAAAATGTTACGGTGTTCAATCGTGTTCATAAGTATCAAGGGATCTCCTTGTTCTATATAAGATGTGATAATTGGTTTCAATTATTAAGAAAATAATTAATTTTCGCCTCGTGTTAAAAGCTTGAAAAAGTTTGCTTCGGAGAATATATGAATTATTTGATTCAGTTGTCGAGAATGTTTTAATATTTTCCGCCATATTAATGGTTGATACATGAGAAGTATAAAATGAAGAGATGAAAGCGTAATAATTGTTGTATCATTACAAACAAAGAATGTAAATGGAAGAGCTGAAGATGAAATTAAAGTTGAAACGCAAATTTGCTATTTATTAAAAAAGTTTCGGCAAATGATTCCCAGGAGTTTAATTTACTGAAAGTTGCACCATTGAAGTTTTTTTTTTTTAATAACAGAACACTCCATTTTTTGTCGTTGATTTTTATGTAGATACTATAGCGTAATGACCGAAATATCTTTCATAAAAATAAGATATTTTCTTGGCAATGGTACTCCATAACATTTTCAGTTTGTTCAAATTATAAATCATATTAGAAAAAATAAGATTTTTTGTTCACCTTCGTATCTATAAGAAATCACATAAGAAAAAGAAGAAAGAAGAACAAACTTAACCAAAATACTGTTTCGAGAAAGTGCACTAAAATACTCATAAACAATTAAATGCCTTTTAATATTTACAGGATCTTTATTTCGGTAAGTGAACGAAGTATGACAGCTTACAACGTTTTCGATCGAGGATGTGTGCGTAACTGAGAGCCTCGTATTACATCGTTACGTGTAACATTAATCAACCTCTCATCTAATCGTCAACCCAATTAACTGTGTCTTATATTTTATCCACAGCATTTATGTCTCACGTGTACATCCGCATATATTCTCCTTAATTATACGTAATACCTTACGAACTATGCACTCCGCACCATTTCCACCCCGATTCGCGTTTCGCATTTCGACGCGACTTTCAAAAAAGTCCGAAGAATACGCTATTCATTCCCAAATCTTCAACGTTGTTCTATAACATTTCTTTCTCTTTTATACGTCTCACATGCTATAATTATCAATGAAAACACCGTGAAACGAGATGAAAAATATAATAGTATCTTCGTAAACGTAGTAACAAACGAATTCTAGGAGGACGTTGGATATACACTTTTGGAAATCGATCGATCGAGAGCGAACGAGTTTGCCTGTAATTATATAAAGTGGCCTAAAGAGTAAAATTAATGTTCGCTCGGAAGGCTAACATAAAGATTAATACAGAAGATAACATATTAGAAATACAGTAAAAGAATGCATTCTTAGCCTTTCGTGTAGAATGATGAGGCAACAAAGGGAAAATATACTTAATATACAAAAGCTTAGAAAGGAAATATTTCTTGCAGAAGCGTTTCTCGACAAAAATTAGGCTACTTTCATAATCACAAGCATAAGTTAGTACTTCTCTAGCTGAGAAAAGTTCTCTCTTCAGAGTATTACAAATAACATGTACATTTTGTCATCGAGCACTTGTGAATGCAGCAATATATTCGACAAAATGGATCTTTTTTTCTTCTTAAAAACGGATTGATTTAAACGATGGTCCTAATAATTTATACGATGCTGGAATTAAAATCCCTATTGTCTAATAATTGTCTGAATGGATATGTAAAGGTCCAAATTCGCTTACAATTCTTATCATAGAATAACTATCTGTTTTGTTTGAAATTGTTTTTTGAGATTGAAAATGGTTGCATTCATAAGTCCTCGAAAGAGTGACTAAACGCTCCGTCAGAATTGAACGTTGAATGAAATCACGAGATTAATTGTAGCGTCGTGATTCTGTGCATACACTGGCTATCGTATAACTTATATCGCTAAACACGTTTAAGATAGGGGTTTCGGTAATGTTCATACATTTTTAGTCCCACGTTTAGGCGACGTACAAGCTTTCCGATAAAAGTCATTATTCATTTTCATGCGTATACTTCAGAAAATAAAAAACAATACATGAGCTTAATTATTCAATTTCACTCTTCAACTATAAAAATCAGCACTTGATATCCTATAATTATTCTTAACTAAGGAAAAAGAAGAACAACCACACCGGTCTTTCCCATATAAAATTAATTACCAGTTAATAGAAAATTAATAACTTTTATCGACAGCTCTCCGAACGTCCGGAATCAAACGACGATCTAATACAGCACCGAGAAACACCCACCATGGTTCACCTATGAAGTTTTCGCTTACCTACACGTATTTACACACTGCATGCACGTCTATATAGACACTCTTATCGTTTACAAATATCAAAAGGATTCGCCTGATCTCTCCGTTTCGCGGGACTTCGGTTCATCCCTCGTCCATTTCTCGAGCCATTCAGCCCCTCGCGGTTCGCCTTTAGGGCTTCCTTTCAACCGGCACCTCAGACAAAGGTTCAAAGACGAGCCACGAGGACGTTCGCAGAAAATAGAGTAAATTTCCGGGACGACGTTGTCGAGGATGATTACGGAGCAAAGGGAAATTGTCTTTCGATCGCCTGTGTTAATCGTACCGAATGAAAACCATGAACTATGCGGAGAAAACAATGCCGTTGTATTAACTATATGTTTAGGATAGATTGTTGAAAATTTATTCAATTTACGTTTGACGTTTGAATAAATAGGCAATTTAATATCTTATTATTGGAACTTTTTACTAGAAATAAAGTATTTTAATCTTGATTTTAAATTGCAAGTAAAGGGAAGTCTGGTTATAAAGAGTTAACTCTGTTCTTAGTAGAAAGATATTTCAGATAATTACAGTTTACCAATGGACAGTTAATTAACGAATGAATTGAATCTCTCTGCATGTTTCAGCCACGTTTATGACCTGCAGTATCTTCACCGGTATTCAGGCTGTATCAAGAATGTTCGATACGACACGACATATTAAACTTGAGGAATGTTTAAAGTTTTTCTCGGGCACCGGAAACGAATTCATCGAGTTCAATTTACTTTCTCGTCTGCTTTTTGATTGCCCTCCGTTTCCTCCCTGCTCTACAGCTTCCCATTTTCAAACGAAACATCCTTTTAAAATATTTACTCTGCAGCTAAGGGGTTGTTAACCCTTTGTACTGAACTGTCGCTGTATAGTGACACTGACAAATGATATGAAAATTATTTCTTACATAAGTATAAGTAACGATATATCTGATATGTCTACGTCTATATATCTAATTTGGTATAAACAATATCTGATTATATATGCAGTAATTAAGATTATAAAAATAACATTCAAAATCGGTATTAGATGTTAACAAATATACACAAAAAATGTTTTATAAATTCATGTAATGATCGGCAATGTTCAAATAGAAACTTTCTGAGCGTTTAATTAACCATTCTATTACAAAGATTATATACGTATTTAATAAACAGATGGTTTTACAAACGTACATTTCACATCCACGAAATGGTATTAATGTTTCTGTTATTTTGTGTATCACGTATTAACTAAATACACCGAATATAAAATATTTGAAACATTACGATCATTCCACTCTAATAAACTCCGTCGCAACCTGCGCATTATCCCCATATCTCTTCATTACCAATTTTGAATAGTTAACAGCGTACAATGTATAAAAATCTACGATGCAATCTACGGGAGGCTGAGACACCCCCTTGCTCGATCAAACTCAGCCTTCGTTCAATCAAACAAAGAACTCCGCTAATTTTCTTCGCTTTCATCACAGAATTTCAATTTCCCTTTGTTCCGCAATGAATCTACGTAGAACGTCGTGCTACGAAACGAAGGCAGCGATCGACGAAAACCCGCAAACCGCCACCGTAACCAAACTGAACCTCAGACCTTAATTCACTCGCTATCCCGCTGGGTGGAACAGCTTGAAAATAATTTCGTACCTCGTGCAGGATTCGTCGACCTTCTCCCTTCTAAGTAGCGTAACGACGATCGATCAACCGGTGCGAAGAAAAGGGTGTAAGAGCCGCGTTGACGATCGTTCACTACCCGTGATGATAGTAGATCTTGTCCTTGCAATTGCACGTGGCACCGCAGAACTTTCGTCGTTCGCGGCCCTCTTTCGTGTTCGTCTCGCAGACCCAGTTACGAAACGTCCTGACCAATTCGGCGCAGTTCGACCAAAGATCGTTGTAGTAGCAGGCGTTTGTGCACAGCTTGTTGTACGAACAGTGGTCCTTGCACATGCTACACGGCTTGCCCGCCACGTAAGGACGGCTAAGTTGACCTTTGTAATTGCCGCTGCAAGTAGAAAGAATTGTGAGCCATTAACATGGTTTTTTTATGCACATGTACATCGTTTGTTATAATCGTCTTTGTCTAAGGCTGCTATGAAACGTTTGAGAGTGAGATGATGTGGAATTTGGTGGAGGATTAATGAAACATGTATTTATCCGATATGAAGAATACAGGAAAGAAACACAATCTTTTGTTTTAATGTCGCTTTATGATTAAAAAGCAATGTTTCAATACGAAATAGTTAAAAATAGAAATATCTTTCAATATTTTAGAACAAAGAACAATTTTAAATTATGAGATAATCTAAACAGTCTAATAGCCTAAATCGAATAAAAGGATATTGTGATACTGGATTTAAGTGCTGCCGTGTAAATGGAAAATGTGATTTATCGTCTTTTCCCTCTGCTCAGCCTCTTCGCAGTTGCACAATCAGTTACAAGGCACTCCGCATATCGGTATCAACTTTCTGCTAAGTAATTACAATGATCTTTCCCAAAAGGGAAACATCCGTTTCCGCAACCACGAAACAACTTTTCACTGAATAATTTTTCTCTAAACAACCGTTCGATTTTATACAACCATCATAGCTGTATTTCGACCAGAAAGAATAATTTTGCCCGGCTGCAATCAGAGCGCAACTTTCTTTCATCTCCAAGAACACGACAAAAGGCTCTCTAGCTCGCTCATTTCTCCCCATCAATTTCACCCCATCCCCGTGGCAAATGCTTGCCTAATAACTCCGCGTTTACCCGCTTCGACTCGCCTGCCTGGCACTCTCTTCCTCCAGCAATCTTTCCTTCAACTTTACTTTCAGACAATTAAGCCGTGACGTTTCACGACGTTTCATGATTGCAGTTCGCGAACGTCTCCAGCAACTTTCTCTACCCGTCAGACTCTACGTTTTCCAGCGACAAACAGCCTGAGGAATGAGCTCGAGCCAATCCTCGCGACCAAGTCACGATTAATTTACATTTGGAGTATTTTTCGCACCCGGTCACCGCGATCGTCGCCGCGCCGTTTCGAATTCAAATGTCCCGTCACGAAATTCATCACGAAACCGCGCCGGAAAGTAAAAAGTAATACTGTCCCCCGTCACAGCTCTTTATCTACTACCCGATCGAGGGAAGATCGCGGACATCGTATTAGATCATCACGAATTAGAAGAATTAAAAATCTCTGTAAGGAAAGATCGCGTAGAACGGGTTTATTGGATAAATGCTAGAAATCGAGGCAACGAATAGTTTCGTCGTTCCTGAAGGATTTTGTTTCTAATTTAATACGTTTAGCAATTACAGTGTTAAAGCAGGCTTTTTGTTTGCGTCGGTTTGATATCATTGGATTGTGGACTTATATATTTAAGTTCATTTGTATTCATGTACCTGTCTTGTAATTAATGAGATTTTTAATTACTGCGGTCTTCAAGATTTTATATTATGCCATCGTTCTTGTTTCAATATAGTAAAAGAGATTTTAATATTATAGAAGTAACTTTAGTAAAATTGGAAAATAAATCGTGAATATCGGTAACAACTGCATCATATTTTCCTGAAACTGACGAACGCAGTAGAGTCGATCAAAGTTCAAATTAGACTACATCAGCTATCATAGTTGCCTAAGGTTTGAAAATATTTACCGTGTCCTCGCCAAGAAAATATTAACAAGAAACGCGACGTAAAATTTATTCTTGTTTATTTTGCTTTGCGTGCAAGAATTACGTTCAAAGAGTAGAGAGAATAATTTCTGGCTCGATTAATACAACTGACGCGTTAATACTGGTTTTTGTGTAAGTGGTTTGAAAATTAATTTCTTAAAACGCGGCTGACAAATTGTACAAGTTATCGGCCGTAATTTTCAAAAGAATAATCGTCCACTTTATGCGGCTGTTGCGTAAAGAACTCGAGAAACTTTCCTGAAACACGATCCAAGGGGAATAGAATTAATTTCGAAAATGTGCTCTTGCGTCACGACGTCTCAGAGCATTACTCCGGGATATTATTCCAGAATACTACGATGTAGCACACTATACCGTACAATAACAGAAACACATATTTCTATAACAACAACAACAAAATATTCGTTGTAAAATGATGAAGCAGATAAGGAATAAAGTAATTATTAAGGAAGCATGCAATATGTTTAGAATAGAACAGTTTAATGTCTATAATATGCAGGAATTTTTATTGAATTGCTCGAGTTCCAAGAATATTTATAGAGCTTACCGAGAGATAGAATTTTTAGAATTGAAAAGCATACATGCAAAAAATTGGGAACGGTTTATCGAAAATATTCTTCTTGAAATAGTAAACACTTGGTTGAATCGGATTAATTAAAAAAACCAATCGAATAGCACAGATTGAATGGATTCTGGAAATTCTACGACCAAATTGCAGGAGCAGGTGCCTTAAATATCGCTGTATTTAATTTTAAACTTGTTAAAAATTTAATTTCGTTGACTGTTCGTCGAGTGGTTGAAAAATTAACGATTTTACGATTTTCGGGTTTAAAAATCTTATTGTAGAGTTTTATGATCTTTCATGATCATCTTCTATGTGAACAATAACGAATAGACAGAGAGGAATAATAGAAACAATGTCCAAGGTGTTAAACAACGTGGTATTCTGATGAAGCGATCGTGAAGAAGTTTATAGAGGGTGGTCAAAAAGTGGCTACATGCACGAGACGTGGGAGAAGTGGGTCAGACGTCAAGTAGTCTTCTTCAGAGAAGACGTGCTCCTTTTGTCGACAAAAAGCAACACCAGATACACGAAATGTAACGTACACTTCGTGATTCAACTTCTTTTTATCTTCCCTCTTCTTTTTCACAAGCATGCACGCAATTTAGTTATACCCTCTCATTGCACATTCGCATTTTCCACGTTTTTTAATTGTGCTACATTTCGTCGTTATAATCCATTTTCAATATTTGTTCGTTTCATAGGACACGCTCCTTTTAGGAAAATGACTTATAATATTGAAAATAACGAAATATCTAAATTGGGTAAACAAAACAATTCATAATTATTGGAATATCTAGTCGTACCAGGTAAGGTGTGATAATTAATTTAACATTATAGTAAAATAAAATTATTTTGATTTATCATCGTATAAATTTTCTCGCTTACAGGCCGTTTACCCAACATGATAAATATATCTTAGAATGTAATCGCTCAAAACACAGAGCTTAAGGCGAATTATGCGCCGCGTGAGCGCGATTTGCCGGCAAGATTGCAAGCCTGTCATGATTATGACGATGCAAATGAAACCGTGATACTCTTTACATAGAGGGTTACGTTGCAACTGTTTCGCGAGTGCTCGCACAGTAACTCGCAGAATATGACTGATGAAACACTGATAAAAGACTCTGACATAAGATGAATGACTATTGTACGAATCGTCAGATTCGTCGAACAGATAGCGTGTTACGTTAATATGAAATCCAACGTTCGTACACACAAGTTTAATCTCTTATAGCAAATAAGTATCTATAATTACGTTACATATGACGACATTTAAGACGTGAAATTTATAGTACCTACTATTCACAACCTTCTGAAAGTTAGATTTCTTTACAATCCATCGACCTCATAAACACCGCCAGTTTTCCTCTTTGATTCCCTCTTCGCTATCTTATTTTCTATCCCTTTAATTCCTTTGTAATTACCTTTCTTTATTTATCCTTCCGGGCAGTCCTAACGCGCGTACACTGGTAATATTTCCTTGGCGCGATGCACCAACAACGAGAAAAGAAAGGAAGAAGGAAGGGAAAGAGACGAAGCCGAGAGAATTTAAATTACGCGCGTCGAGCGCCGTCATAAATTCGTTTCTCGACCGCAATTTTCCGGATTATGCCCGTGGCCTTCCGCCGCGGTACCAGGCAAACTTTTCGATTACAATGAGCCACCATCATAAATTCCTGGCACAGGAAGCAGCTGCGACTACCTACACGCGGTAATTCCCTGTGATACTTGCGACCACACGTGGCGAAGACAACTCTGTTACGTTCGTTTTTCACCAATTGACGGCGTGTGAAAAATTCATTAATATGTGTATTTGAGAACTCTTTAACTCGCCTTAATTCAGCTTCAAACGTTTCTCAACATTTCACCAAATCAACGTTAGAAGTTAAGTTTCACGATTGAATATATTCCGCTCGAACAAACTTGATTTCTTCCTTTTGTCTTAAAATCTTACTACTTATCTACTATCTTATTATATAAAAAATTACAAATTTCTGTCCTACATTGCTCTGCCGGTCTATTACTCAGAGAAAGAAAACTTAGTTTTTCAAACGAATTCAAGCAACCTCGTGCCTTAACACGCTTTTGAAAATATCCCTCTGAAGTCGGCAAAATTAAATAAGACGCTTGGAAAGGAAATCATAATAGCCAGTCGGTCGCGTTTTCGAAACGACTAAACCACAGAACCGAGAAAAATGAAACGAAAACAGTGAAACGAGAGCGCGCACAGAACACGGCAACTGCGAGAAGCTTGAAGAGAATACACGCAAAGGTACTTCAGCTTTGTTACCGCTCCGTATTGTATTCCTTTTGCTGTTCGCTTTATAGGCGCTTTTTTGTTCCTTGACAAGTGGCTCTCTTGTAGGCACCTTTACACCAAACGCGATAGAACCAAGTTCGACGTGTACTTAAAATTCTAACCAATCCCGGTACTCAAATTTCGCATCATAGAAATCTGATATTATGGGGAATACATACAAAGCTGTATACTTAAAGTTCTAGGTCTATAGTTTTGTAACTTGTGAAACAAATTATTAGAATATCCTGTAACAATCGTTCCGAGATTGGTAATAAAACATTATTTTCTAATGCCATTTCTCGGTGCATCTCACTCCATTAAAATGAATGAAATAATTTTCACCAACTTTTTTTATACAAATATTCCACTGTGATACTGCTCGAATGTAGTCGACCGACTTTCGAGCCTATAGAACAAAAAATTTGTGAAATTTCAAGGTATCTTATTTTCAAATTGTCAGCAATTGTTTACTCACCTTGGAGCATAGTTGCACACATACATGAAAAAGTCCTTGCCGAGTGGACCTTTGCCACCAGTGCAATGACTCACGCCACAGCCTACTAAATGTGTGGTGGCCCACACGATTTGAGTGTAATGGCCGATTTTGCGATAATCGTTGACTTCTTCGTTGCCGTATTTGAAATCTTTATATTCCATGTACCACATTCTGATAGCGAAATTCCTGAAAATGAAAGGACGATTGATTAATCGGCAAATTTACATTAACATTTTCCTTTTACTTTCGCCACCATTGTACAATTCTATTCGGGCTGAAACGCCGTTTCTTCTTCACTTTGTACACTGAAAGAAGCGAGGAGCGTTCGAAAGGCCTTTCAATCCAAAAGAAGAGAATCAAGTCAATTAAAAACACGACAGACTCGGTCGAATGGTTTCATTGGAATTGCCGACGCCAAAGGAGGACGTGGAAGTGACATCGGCGACAATTGTTCACTGAACGTCAACAGGTGGGTCTCTAAGGAAACCAGCGAGTACGAAAGCAAGTTATCGTTAGGCAGAAGTAGAACAATGCTGGTGAATCGTAACTTCGAATCAGACTAGGAACTTTCGTGCCTCAACAATAACAGCTTTTTCTACTGGGAGTCTACGGTCTTCCGCGTATTTATAGGCTTATTCACGCGAGGCTACTGAATAATGTATTACCTATTTTTAGAAAAGAATTTCTTACATTGAAACTTTGTAGGAAGTAGCAAATAGAATTTTATTTATACGCGGCTCAAAGCTATAAGAAAGAGATTGTAACGAGAAGAGGTTTTATTGTATGAAACAGGAGATTACTTTCCGTTGCCATCGGCAATTCCAATGATTGAAACATTCGTTAAAGAAATGCAGAGATACAAATAATGAGTATAAAAATATGTAAATCTTGTTGCAAGTGAATTAATTACGGTAAATTACAAGATACACTGAATCACTGTACATTGTGATTAATGCTGCACGAAAGAAATCAAACAATTTCATTTTTATAAATTATTACTACGTAAAACAATATATATAATACAATTTACATAAATTATATAACAAATATACGATTTATACAATACATAATGACGTAACGTATGATTGATATTTAAAATGTTTCAAATTTATGATACTGCCTGATATTGTATTACGAATAAGTTGAATAAAATTGCGATTTTTATGTAGCATGACAAATGAGAAAAATAAGGAATTTAATTTTATTAAATTACATATCATAGTAGCGAAGGGATGCAAAAATATGCGCAATTTTAGCAGTAGTATGAACATAGCCCTTGGCGAATTTTAACTCTGAATCGGCTCATGCGTTTCCGTCTGGCCTATGGTTCCCTTTTCTACTGAAACTTCGAGTGCTTTGTTACGTTTGTTAAACGAATTGCAGAGTGCATTTTGAAGCGCTAGACGCTAATAACTCTTTCCGAAGGAAAGTCATTTGTTTTCAAATTACATAAATTATCTCGGTGGCAAGCAATGTTTTAAGTTGCATTGATTGCATTAGTCAAATTGGTAGTAATCATTTAAACAATTTGATTTCCCCTATTTTATCCTTCGGTCATTTTTCTTAAATTTCACTACGAACTTTTCGAATAATCCAATAGCCCAAAAAATCCAAAGTAAAATGTAATTCTAAAAATTAGCAAATACTTTCGGCTATATCAAGATACTCAAATATTCTAGTCCAGAAAAAAATCAAGTTTCCTCGATAAATTCTAATACTCTAATGTGTTAGTCAAACACTGTAACTCCCTTCGCTCGAAACTTGAAATAATAATATTACACGAGTAAATCCTTTGGTAGTAACAATGATAGTTAGCGACTTAATTGAAAGGTATCGATGTGGCAATTATACGGAAATAAGGATCCGCCTTTGTCTGCGTTCTGTGGTGCACTCTACTCGAAATTCTATGCCCTGTGCGCCAGAATTCTGCGGTTATTGGAGCACCACGGGGACAATCATCCCCTGCAGCGAGAATATCTTCCTCTGGGGCACGAATACATTATGCGTACAATCCACGAAAGATCTTTTGAAGTAAATTTGAATAATAAAGAATTTTAAGCCCTTACAGGGATGAAAGGTTTGTAGATGTTAGAATAAGATACGCTCGCTGCGAAATACATACATAGCTTAGCTCCTTTTGCATGATTTTGTAAATGCGAAAATTTGGAAATTTCATGAAGCAATAAGAGAATCAGATTCAAATAGAAATATTCATAACATATTTATATTCGCTTCTTTCTGATTTAGAAAAATAGATTGGTGGATGTTAGTTAAACGTTAAACGTACTTTCTGATACATTTTAATCCTAAATCATCCGAAACTTTCTTGTCTGAATAATAACGGGCTTTTCTATTGAACGCACCGCGATCTTCGGCGTCTTCAAACGAAGTTTGGAATAAATTCGAAGGCACAAGACGTTACTGTATCACTTTCCCACAGAAATTTAATTATTTTAAGACTATGAAGTAACGCAATGCTTAGAATATTTCCATGAATTTCATCAAGTCTATTGTTCTGCTCGAAGAACGTCGAGGATTAGATTAAGCTGATACGACTTTGATTGCCCATTGTATGCAGGAATATGTAATCTTACTTGAAAATTTTTAAACTCACCATAGCGTCCTTCTCGTTGTAATGAAGATATTTTGCCCACTCGACCCGAAATCATCCAAATATCGGCCGGTTGCATTGTCATGTACCAAACCGAGGCATCGATTAGCCCATTTCTGTGCAGCTTTACCCAAACCTGGATGCCACTTCTGAAACAATATAATATTTCCTGGTCATATTACGTATCATATACTCCTGTTCATAATTATCAGAGATTCGTCGTTAGAGACACTTATAATAAAATAAGAAACATTTATAGTAAATGAATAAATACAATAAATAAATTTAGGAAATGAAAATCTTTAAAAATTGTCACTTGATTTGTAAACTAAAAAACCAGCGAAGAGCCATCTCCTCAATTGTTAAAATTCCTTAATCAATTTTCGATGTATTTACGTTATATCTAGAAAACAGCAGTAAGCACGAGAAATATAAAAAAGTCATTGCCCGGCTATTTTTAAAGATGAAAATCCTTTTAAAGCACAATCTCAAATGGCCTCATAACCAGCACGATCCCTTCACATCCACTTCGCGATACAATCTCCACAGAAATTTATCGAAGAACCCCTCCGTAGGTTCCCTCCATGAAACGAAAGCGACTGTAACCAAGTGGCACTTCGTTTATTCGAAGCCCGTTAATTTTCACCCCGGTATCGCTTTAACGCGAGAGCGATCCGAGTTTCCTCATAAAAATTTATAACTCGCCACGACCTTACGATAGTCGCGTCCGGCCATCGAACCGCGGCGTTAAGCACTTTTACGCGAACGTCTCGAAGAGGGAAGGACTTTTCTGTACGAGCCCCGCGAATTTGCCAGCCCCGTTTTTCACGTGAAGATTAGAACGATACCGTGGCATCGTGAATGCATCGTCGTGTCGGCATCGTAACGAACCGCTCGTAAACGAGAGTTTATTAAGATGTACTATTTATTAGAGGAACGCGGATATGTTTACGTAGGTACTAGTGGCATTAGGCACTGTGTGAACTCTTCGAGATGAAATCTTACGCCTCAGTTACTATATTAAATATCAAGCAATAGTTTATTACTTTATTTAAATTTCGTGAAATTATAAAATCTAGGAGGAAGAAATAGCGATGAAATAGTATCAAAGGAATCCTTGAAACTACATTTCATGGCGACAATATTAAAAAGCAGAATTTGATAATGTAAAATGATCGCAGAAATTACAAATAAAATGTCATGCTGGTGTATAAATTAAAAATTCAGAAAATTTCCGTGAAACTTAACTTTCTTTCTGATTAAGCGTGTGGTAAACGCAAATAAAAAAATCATCCAATTTTGTTCCGTTGAAATTTTACAGAGCTTTTGCAGAATACAATTAGTTCAATTATCTTACGTCCGTGTAGTTGAAACAATTACAGAACATCGCGAGCAGGATGCGTTAATGGAATGAAGCCTGCATTTAACAAATGAAATCCAACTTTGAAATAAAGCAGTCTGTGTAATTTGTATTAAACAGAAATTCCAGATAAATCTGCATATTCCTGCAACGAATTCGTAGAACGAGTTAGAGTGAATTGTAATTTATAAAATTAGTTTCGTTACTCGGCAAAGATATCGTTTTCCCCTTACATACTTTCTTATAGTTAAGGAAATGGATCCGTTTTTCACTGGCGTTTTTGACATGAAATGATATTAAGCTTTCTGTAGATGTTTTTTAACGTAATCCTCATCGAACCAAAAGTGTGAAATCCATCTATGAATGAATGAAATTATACTTTTGCAATTATCATTCAAACGGTAATTAACGCCGAAATGTTGTGACAAGAATCTTATTGTAATTGTAAAATAATAATTAGTTACAACACTGTACTAATTATTTTCAACAAGAAATATCTTGGAAAAATCTTGTACAGGAGTTCCAACAAATCTGTAATTACTTATATGAATTCTTTCTTCTTTAGGATGCGTGAACACTCTTGGCCACTGTTTCACTTCATCTTTGGCTATTATACTACAATTATTTTTGTCATAAACTGACATTTAATATAAATTAGCACAGTTCTATGTCAGAAACTAGTACCACAGAAGAGTAAATTTAGCTTTAGCTCGTAAGAAATATAAAAATTATACAAAAATTACTGCAATAAATTATTAAAAGTGTTAAATTACAATAAACATTCAAGAGTTATTAAATTTGATTCAATTATAATAGAACAATCATTTTTCACAACATCGGGTAAGATCGTTCGACCAACCAATCGGAACATTGTCAAGAGTATGTCACCGGGTATACATGTAAAGTGGTCATTTTCATTTCTATTTCCGTACCGTGAATATCGAAAACAAATTTTGTTTTACTTACTAACAATTTAGTTATTTATTTAATATTACATTTAAAAAAGTGATTAGTAGCATTAAAGTGATTTAAGTGATTATGTTACGATAGAAAAATCATTTCTTATGACATCAGCAAAAATCGTTAATGTGTATACATCAATTTACGTGCAGTCTGATACACATAGACTTGAAAATATACCATTTATATAAAACACTTGTGCCACTAATTTAAAACAACTCTATTGCTAATTTATAAATATATGTCATTAATTTCAGACAATTATTCCATTAATTTGTGACAATTTACTATTAATTAAAAACAAATATTCCATTAATTTTTAACAATTATATCATTAATTTATAGTAAAATGCTATTAATTTGAAAAAATTAAATTAATGATTTATTTTATTTCATCTACTATTCATTAAAGCCTTGAAATCTTTTACATGATATTTTATTTCTATTTCATTCTAGTTTTTAATGTTAAATACTTTACTTAATTTTTCATTTCACTACTTCATATAAAATCAGTGCAATGCACTAGCAGTGCAAAATGTACCCATTGATTGACTATGGAATTTAACTCTTCGTGTCCGCTCAAGGCCAAAGAATTAAACCATTTTCATGGATTTGAGGAAGCAACTGTAATGAAATCAAGGACCACGAAATCTCGCCATCCAATCATGCATGTACTATTGGTAAGCCGCATGGTTTGCTTCCTTTGGCGATGAATTCCAATCTTCAAATATGATTATTTGAGCTCAGATACGGGTTTAATACGAATTCTATCAATATGTATACACTTCAATAACTAAGAACATAAAATATATCTTTATTGAAAGATATTTAAAATGCATCTCTATGCTCGTGTACAAACCTAACAGAGTGATGTACAGATTTTATTTTTGTCTTAATGATTTTCGACTTATTGTCATAATCTATAGCATTCTCTGCTTTTGAAAACATAATTGATAAAATTATTTGAGAACCAAATATGATGCAGTTAAATGTCCTGAACAATTTCCTACATATTGTACCCTATTCCCTTTAACAAATTAGATATTATATTATAATTAATAATAAGATATAATATTGCGTATGAATGATCTATATTTTATGAATAGATACTAACTTGTAAGATATATTTTGATAATAACCTTTACTCTCGCTCGCACACTTATAGATATACTCATATTAAAATCACGTACAGCACTAATTAATAAATTTCAATACCAATTATTTCTTTACTATCCAATAGTTTTACATCTTTTGCTCTCGATAACATGAATGACAATTACTCGTGAACCAAGTATAATACAAGCATATTTAAGAACCTTTTACGTAATCTATTTATCGTCTATTCATAAATCTATTCACGAATCCATTTCCTTCTCTCCAATTATACATTAAATTGAAACAAATAAAATCTAGTGCAATTTAGGATAAGATATTTTATAGATAGATATTTTATAGATATTTTATAGATAAATATTTTATAGATAGATATTTTATCAATAAATAGAATTATCAATTTATGATATGTAATGAGATCCGAGAATATTTGCCTCCCCGTGGTGGGTCCCAGTAATTAGTAACGTTTTCCAAACATTAATATCTCGAAATACTATTGTAAATATTAGACAGTTAATATAATATTAACTTTAATATTACAGGCATATTACCATTTGTAAAACGATACACATATTAATATTTCCGAGTATTACTATCAGAAAAACGATATCAACCTAGCAACTACTTTAATACATTCCAACCTAGGTTATCAAAAATTCCTTTCGGAGTTTCATGATCTAAACTGGACTGGTACTAGCCGCGGGGGCATCGTGGGACGTCCTGGGATCCCGTGGACCGCCGTAGGACGCCGTGATATATCTCGAGAACATCGTGGAACGAGCGCGTTTTAGCTTTAACGAATTATAAGATACTTACGTTAAGCCGATCGCAACCCCATTATGTACAATGACGCTTGTCGAACTCGCAACGAAAAATAAAAATCTATTTTCTTTCGCCCCTCTCGCTGATTACATAACACAAATTGTTCTCGAGATTTATTGGCTCGGTATCGTTCATCTATTGCATTCCTTCTATCTATTGCACAGCGTACTCGTTCGCGCGTCGGTCAACGTGTACTTGAGATTCCCTTGTATTCGTAAGTCGGCCAAAGGACACCTTTGTTTTAGTGACTGCTCGATAACTGTTCGCTCATTGCGTCGAGTCGCGAGGGTTATCGTTGAGCCGATGGTACTCGCAAAGTCCAGTCAAGGATATGCGACTCTGCCCAATTGGTACTTCGGTACTCAGACAGGGTTAGAATCTGTAATTTGATGTACTTCGTAATCTTGTTCGGCGAGTCCCTC